TGTGTTGGTTTTCAGTGTTTCTTTAGCGGTGCGTTTCCCTTTTTTCATTTTGCTTTAAATTTTTTTTGGTGTAATTGTGTAATTAAATTTTTTTTTTTTTATTTTCCCTTTCCCGGATTTTTTTTTGGTTTTTCCTCCCCCCCCCCCCCCCCCCCCCCCTCACCCCTCCAAAAGTTTTGTAATGATCCCTCCCTTAAATGGGGTATCAGTTACGCCTGGTTCAGACGCCGTACTATGGAGCGACACTGGCGCGACGTCTGATTCAGACGGAGTACCGTGTGTCGAGCTTAAGTAAAGTTCGACAAAAGTTCGACAGACTCTGTCGAACTTTTGCCGCACCAAACTAAAACTGCCATACCAAATTGATTCAGACACCGCTCTTTTGCCGTGACTCTTGGCTATGCCGCCGAGTTCTGTCAGTATTACCCTGAAATGAAGATAATAGTTTGTGACTTGGAGTCAGCCTTGATTTTAGCTCATCACTTCCGACCATCAGTTGAAGCTTGCCCAAATCAAGCCAATGTTTCCTTTGCGGTCGGCGATTTCTTCAAACCTGACACCATATCAAAGGCTGAATTGTATGTGTTGTCTCAACACATACACGGACTGACTACTATTGGGCGGAAGTAAAGTAAAAGCTATTCGATGTCATTATTACCGACACATCAAAGAGTCTGTGAACACAGACGAATCGTGTGGTGCCAAAGATGAAAGTGACGGGGTATCAGGGGATGAAGAATATGAGGAAGAATTCGACAGTGAGGAGGACGGGAGCGACAATGACTTTGTTTTCAACGATTTGAATGAGAACAGTAACCCTTGAGAGAAAATTCAGTTCATATCAGATGACCAAATATGTGAAGTTGTTGTTCTAGGTTCATGAGACGTAAGTATTGATATAGATGTCACTTGCTTAGATACACGTTTATTAACACTGGCTTTTGTGGTGGCTGGGATAGAAGAGGGAGGATCATGAAATGTTGCACCGTCAAATGATGTGTGGGGATCAAACCCACTCTGCATGCTTTAAGGGGGGACCACGTAGGTGCTCCGTTGTCGCAACAAATAATCCTTCGTCCCCCCCCCCTCCCCCAGGCGATAAATAATGACCCGTCCCTAATGGGGTACGTAAACAGGCAACGACAAAAATTTGGTTTCTCTTTCTGAACTTAGATATGGTCCCTAGGAATTCCAGTTTAGTTGGCGGGTTCGCTTACATTTGTCAAAGTCATTTGGTAATAAAAAAGAGTACAAATTCACTTTTAAAGATAGAGCATGAGCTAACCCTGTATACTATATGAAACACTAAAAAGAAATTTTAAATTAAAGGCTTCTCTAAAATACTGAGTTTTAAGCAATGTCTTAAAAGTGTTGAAATTTTGCTGTGATGATTGCGGGAGACTGTTTCAAATCTTGGCGGATGTATTCGACTCGATCGCTAAGCGTTTTTCCGATCGTCGAGAATGGTCTTCCTACTGGATACTGGTACTTGAGCGGAGGTTGTTATGTCGAAGTCTTGTTGATGGCGACCATGCTTTCTAGATAACTGGGGGCGTGTCCATTAATGCACTTGAAACAGAGCATAGCAATCTTGAAATTGATTCTAAACTTAATTGGCAGCCAGTGAAGACGTATAAATGACGATCTGATGTGTTCATGTCTTGGCAACGAGCACACCAATCGGACTGGCGCATTTTGCACCCGTTGGAGTTTGCTAAGGTTCGTAGCGGCAACACTATATAATAGGCTATTGCAATAATCTATTCTCGACATCATTATTGCCTGAACAATCAACTTTCTATCTTCAAAGCTAAGAAATCTTTTAATGTGTCCAATATTATGCAGATGGTAAAGTCCCGATTGACATGTCTTGTTGATGGCGGTTTTCATGCTCAGATGGAACAGCTTGGCGCAGGGATCCAAGGCTTGCAACATATGACGTCTGTGAAAGTGCACTAGTTATGACTCGAGACTATACGAATAGAACAGGTTGACGCGGCGGGTTTCTATTACTATTAATTCCGTTTTGTCGTCATTTCGCTTACGTTTGTCAGCCGTCATCCAAGTCTTGATGTCTACAATGCAATCTTGTGATGCAGTTACAGCTTCCAATTCACTTGCACTGGAACCAGGCTTAAATGAGATACATAACTGGTCATCGTCTGCGTATACATGAACATCTGGGAGGTGGCGTTTCACTACCTCAAATAACTTGCTGGAACGGTTGTGGCGGCGCGATTTCTGTGACGGAGCGAAGCCGCGCGGCGCCGATCTCTAAAGAGGAGAGTCACATATCGGATAGGTGTTCACACTATGACGGATAGCGTTGCGTGGCGCCACGAGAAAGCCATCATGGCATGGTGTGGACATAACCTACGTTGACTGGGAGGCTTACCCTCTTTTCCATTAGACAACTTTTCTTTCTAAACGGGGCCTTTCAAAGGGCGCCCACGGGGTGCTGGGAAATTATTGCGTCATTGTAGCGGGAAAACTCGTCAAGTGATTCGAAAACTGAACTTTGTACAACAGTCTAAGAGTCTAGGAACTTTGTAGTCGTTCGGAGTCGTGGAGCTGATCGAGTGTGTAGATTGAGTGTTTGATCATCGAAATTTTACGCAAATTAATGTCAAGGAGTACTTTAGGTGTAAAACAGAGTACAGAATTCTAAAATATGAACATGTGAAGAAATATACTTTCAAGCGAGTGACGAGTTAAAGCTAAATGGAACTGGTTGTTTTAGACATAATTTGTGACGCGGAGTATCACGAGGGTGCTAATGGGGATACCCAATTCTCAGTTAACGACTAATTTTTTGGCCAAATATCAGTTAACTACTAACAGTTTTTCCTTTTTACGTATTTTGGTTAGCTATTGACTTTCACTTTCCCACAGCAAATATTATTCTGTCATAACCCGAATTTTCTTTACTTCAGCACGTCAATCACTTTTGGGGGTAGGCCCTACTAAGATCAAGGTGTAAATTTACATGAATTCACATAAACTCCGCCACGAGTACAATTTATAAGTAACTGAAAATATGGAAAAGAACATATAAATCTAACCGAAGTAGCAAAAATGGGGAAGCGATAGCTATTAAGACACCTATTTACTGACTTTTTTTGCTGTAAGTACAAATTAGATTCAAGTCGTATAACTATAACGCTGGTGATAAAGATGCCACTTTATCTTAACTTTATCTTGAGTTGATGCGCTTCTTATAGTTCGTTGCTTTATTCAGTCCACCCCCATCCCAACTTCATCTTCTTTCGTCATTGTTTGCGTCGATGAGAGAGACATAGTTGAGAGTGCTAACAAAGGCATGAAAGTATTTGACATGGGACAATTATAATTGTCCAATTAGTTTAACCAAATGCAAGAACCAGGGGAGAAATAGCCTCCCCCGCAGGCGTTTTTAGGGGAGATCGTATGGGGAGGGAAGAAATACGATCTCCCCTAAAAACGCCTGCGGGGGAGGCCAGGGGAGAAAGTGCTTGAACTGAATAAAGTCAAAAAGCTTCAAACGATATCTAGACTGAGCTCGGTTACCATGTACTCTAACTGCTGTACTACGGAATACTCCCTCAGTTTAATGAGTAAAGTAAGGAAAATTAAACCTTTTAGTGAATTATCTTGCAGAGATAGCAACTATAGAATGCAGAGACCAACTTATTACGGTCTTCTGCCCGTCGGAGAGCTGATTCGTCGACTACCTCGTCTCATTAGAACTCGTGGTCAGATCTTTTCTGGGTTCAAGAGTTTGAGTCTGGTCCAAGAGAGTCTTGGTCAGCGCTGGAGAAGTCGTCGAGAGAGACTCACATTTTTCACCGTTGAAATCTTGCTGTCCTTTAGTCGTCAACTTGAAAGTCGACTGGTTTTTTGTAGTGTACGTGCAAATCGAATTTCCTGTTACGAAGAACCACTTTGAACTGACAGTATAATAAGCAGTAAAACAGGAAAGTATCACTCAATGTGTTAACTTTTTTGCTGCACCTTCATACTTATATATTTAGCAACTAATTAAGGATGGATGACTAATAGTTCAGTGAACTACATTGAACTATGAAATGAAAGATGCACTGATTTTTACAACATCGAGTGGTTTCTTAAAACACTGTTGCTTTGTACTGCTACCAAACTTCTAGTTTTCATTTGAATAGTCATATCTTGAAGTTTTATCCACGGACTTCCTTAATCAAAGTACAACAAACAGCACCATACAGGAACTGCGAATACTGTTCACAATGCGGGTTTCTGCTTACCTCAAACTCAAACTTATGGCCAACCGACTGACATACGTAGTAAAAGTGGACAGATGTTCCGTGTGGAAGTGAAGAGATTATCACGTATCTTTAAGCAAATAGAGGCAACAACAGGTTGTTTAAGCCTTTCGACTTAGTTTTTCAGTGTTTACGACACCTTTTTAAGCAGTGTTTATACATTATTTAACTCTCTAATTAATTAACGGCAGTCTGTTCCTTAGATGCTTTGCCATGTCTCGCCAAGCACGAATCGCATCAACAGCATCTGACACCAAGAAGTAAATTAACATTTATTTAATATTTCAGCAGAGAAACGTCTTTACTATTTTGAGTAACTGCAAAAGCCAAACTTGAACACTATTTTAAATCGTTTCCTTTCATTTAGTGGTAAAAAAGAGTGCTTATCAAAGAAATTTATGCGAAAGGGGTCGTGGTTCGACACGTCAGTTTTTGTGATGAATACTTGAGGGAAATTATTGCGGTATTGTAGCGGGGAAAACCCGTCACGTGATCTGAAAACTGAACTTTAATTGTACAAGAGTCTAGGAACTGTTCGCAGTGTATAACACATAACGTTCGGGATAACAGCTCGAGTATTTTCTAAAAAAAAAAAAGGCAAAATGAGCGAAACAAAAAATTTTCAAGTTCCTTCTCCCATGCCAGAGAAGCTTTATAAGGTAATAGAGGGGGTTTTTTTGTCGAAAGCGCTTTTTGCAGCATGTGAATTTGGAATCTTCGACAAACTGCTCTCCGCATCCTCACCACAATCGGCCGACGAAATAACAAAGGCATTGTCCTCCGATCTTGACGCCACTACACGTCTCATGGACACCCTTGTGGCAATGGAATTGCTAGAAAAATCTAAACAGGGTGACCAGTGGTTGTACAGTAATTCTGAAATGGCCACTAAATTTCTCACCAAAGACAGTCCAGATTCGTATCTAGATATGATCGCAATGAGGAACAAAACGACATATCCTATGTTTGGAAATTTAGAAACCGCAGTTCTTGAAGGAACTACGCAGTGGAAGAAGACGTTTGGAATTTCTGCAGAAGACTGGTTTCCCAATGTTTGTGACACCGAAGAAGCCAAATTACGGTTCATGGGGGCCATGCATTGTAATTCACTCTATGGAAGCTATGCTACTGCTAAAGCCATGGATCTAAGCGCGTACAGAAGCTGCTGTGATCTAGGAGGTAAGTAAAGTTTGCCTGTCAGCACTGTGAAAACAATACTGGTTGAAGATTATTCCACCTCTTCTGAACGAGCTACGGTGGCCCATATCTGCAAACTCAACAAACAATTCTTGAAACACATCAATATATTCCTTTTACAAACACAACACGGTATTATCAAGACACAACAAAAGTTTATGGAAAAAGAGCACAGAGAACCTGCAGAATACCCTGCCATTTTAAAGCTATACCCCCATAACAGTGGCTACGTGGCTACGTGGCTAGGAGGCCATCGCGCAGAATGAGTGGACATCATTAGCTATTCATGACCGCCGAAGCGGCAAATTCCAACGCACGAGTAGCCTCCCACGTCAAAACGAAGTAACCTCAATGGAATGGCCAGCAAAATCACCAGATTTAAATATAAAAGAAAATATCTGGCTCTACATGGGGAGAGAGCTACTGACAAAAATCGCTACCAAAAATGATCTTCTGCGTGAAATCTGGAGCGTGTGGCGGAAAATCGAATTGGATAGGCCACTCGCTCTGAGAGGTTACGTGACCAATGTATCCTTTAAACAATGAGTTGGAATCTCGCTGATGCCAAAAATTGACAGAGCGCGTAAAAATTATCTTACACGCGAAATTTTGAGAGGAAACGCATTTAAGGGAGATATTTTTTGCACTTTGATTTTTAAACAAAGTAGTATGATTTGCCTGATTGGCCGCCATGTTGGAGGGCTTACTTTTGCCCTCCAACATGGCGGCCAAAACTACTTTTTGCTTATATCTTGTTAAACGTTTGATAGTTACGCTCAGATGTGCTGTAAACTTTACCACATCATCTTTACAACATTTTCCTTGAAGTTTAAGAGCAAAATTAGTGTTCAGAAAGAGGTAATTCATAATTTTAAAAATCACATTTTGCTCACGTGACCAGCTACGAACTTACTTATTTTAAGAAAATGGTGCGGGTTTGAAAAATCAAATCACTATTATTTTGTTTAAGATATGACCCTCTAATCGTTTTTCGAAGGCAAAATCATATAACTTTCATTTTCATAAAAACGATGTCACATAACCTCTTAGTGCAAATTGCCTATTATGTAAGAAACCTTTACCAGTCCAAACCTGACCGTCTAAACAATGTAATTCAAATGAAGGGTCATCTCACTAAATATTAAGATGATTTTAAAGTTAGTTTTGCCGAAAACGGTGTTAAAACTAGCGCGCGTAAAATGTAAACAAACGCTGCCATATTGAAAGTGACGTATACTTAATTATGTCTCTCGACTAGCACGACTTGGTCGTAGGGGTTTGCATCAAATTGTAGGCAAAATTCAAGACTTCTGTTCAAATTTCCGTTGAGAAATTGTGTAAATTGCTCCTATTTACCAGAAAAATAGCCACAAAGGCCTTAACGCGATAATTACCGTTTTTAACATTCCAGGATGGGGAAAACACGGCAACTTCCCGGAACTTTTCGCTGGGTTTACAAAAAAATTCTATATCCAAGCAAGATTTTCGGGAAATTAGTTGTAAATGTGGTAAACAGCAAACGATATTTGACTCTATTTGCTGAAATGGAATTTTCAAATTCCCTATTTCTCTCTGCTCTAGGGGCTGTGGGAACTCTCGCCTATGCTCTCTGTCAGCACTTGGGACTTTACTTCTATTGTCAAACACTGAACCTCGGTCGGCACTCAAATCGGGTAGTGAAGGCTGGTAGTCACCTTCGAACGGGTTTAGTTCGGTTACAAAGGAAACGCCAGCCGCTAAAGAAGTTTGCTGAAACTATACCAAAGGCCGATTTGTATGTGCTGTCTCACGTTCTCCACGACTGGTCAGAGGATAAAGTTGACTTGATTCTTTCAAACGCCTACAAGTGCTTACCCTCTGGTAATTTTAGTAGAAAGAATGTTTTACCGTTCTTTAAGGGATCCAGCCCGCGAACTGACTGATCAAGAAGTGCTTTGGTAACAAAAGGCGTTTTGATCTAGTATGGAGCCTACACGGTTGACAGTGCATATAGAAATGGCACATAAGATTATTGTATGACCAATCATCTCTCTTGCTAGCCTGAATTTCAGACGATTATTTTAAGTCGTTTTTACTCTCTTAGTTGCTGAGAGAGTAAAAACGACTCGAAGTAATCGTCTGAAATTCTGGATACTCTTTAGCCATAAAAAGGTAAAAACCTGCTATTTTTCTTAACTCTTTTACCTTCTAGGTGGAGGACTCCTCATTTGCGAAAAAAATTTTAGATGAAGACAAAAGTTGTCCATTGCACGCCCTGATTTACAGCATTTATATGTTGGTGTTAACAGGTGGAAAAGAGAGATCAGCTTCAGAATACAAGCATCTCCTGGAAAAGCATGGGTTTGTAGATGTTGAAGCGAAAAAGGTTTATTTCTCTAAAGATGCCATTTTCTGTAGAAAGATGTAAGAGGCGTCAATGGAACATTTTGTGTTTAATATATAAAGTTAGCAGTTTCTGTATAGCATACACACTTTACATTTAAGTAACATGAAGCTGTTTTTCCTTTGACTCTGATTTGATAAGGTGTTAACACAAACAAATGAAGAGAGATGTGTTGAGTGACAAGATTTAGAGAACAAAATGAGAGAATGGAATCAAACAAATGCGTGACTTTGAACAGGTTTGTGTGGCATCAATGAGAGTCAGTAAAATCGAATTGTTATGCTAATCAAATTGGCAATAAATGTGACAATGCAAATGTGATAATTATCAAATTAATTAACAACCAATTTTTAAAAAGATTTTATAATAACAACTAACGGAATACTTAGAAGCTAAAAACTTTTGAATGATCAGCAGTTAGCTTTCAGACGGTTTCATTCGACTCTGCTTTGTTGGATTGCCCAAATGAGTGGTATGTCAGCAAAGGCCGATACGTTGTTGAGTTCCTCAGGGGTCGATCCTCAGCCCTTTCTTATTCTCAATATATATAAATGATCTACCAAACTACCTGGGACATGCCACACCTAGGCTATTTGCAGAAGACACCAGCATTATAGTCGTAGGAGAATCAGTTGAGGAAATGAAAGTGGAAAATGGCTAGAAGAAAGTGAGCTGAGCCTTAACATAGCCAAAACTGAAAATATATTGATTTGCTCCAAACATACATGCCAGAGACGGAGTTTGAATCATGTCAAGGATGAATTTCCCCTCTTATATTTCTACATCACCTTTCATTCCTGTCTCAAACAACGGGGAAATGTCATAGACCAAGGACGGCGCCGCCTTTTCATAGCGGAGTTCTCGCACGCGAAGCGCGCGCAGTGGAACACCGTGGGTAAGAAAATTTGGTAAATCTACGCATCCAAAAAATTTTGGTTCTGAGAAAGGGAAGCGGGCGCAGCGGAGCACCGTGGGTAAGAAAATTTGGTAAATCTATGCATCCAAAAAATTTTGGTTCTGAGAAAATCGTCCGTACGTACGTCCACCCCTTCATGTAAGGCGGGGTGAAATTTTACATTTCAAGTACCCACGCGTTTCGGCAGTAAATCGCGTAGCCACTTGGACTTTTAGAGATAAAAAACAACGACAACGAAGCCGATTCTTTCTTTCTACTGAATTTTAAAGTCTACATTGGCGTGGATAACAGAGAAAGAGCTAGAGCCAGAGATAAGAAAACAAAGAATACCAAATTCGTTTGAAGAATAACGTGAAAATTTTATAGCGGCTGTCAGAAAATGGGAAATTCTAGCGGCCACCAAGGTAAATGTACAAGAAAAGTGTGCTGCACCTGCAAAGTTGTTTTTTTCAGCTGTTTTCGTTGCCGTCGCCGCTTGGTAAGCGTTACACGATTTTATATTTTGTTCCAGTAAACTATAGATATTAACCACAACTTCGCTTTTAGCCCTGGCTAAATCTCTGGGGCACCCAACGAGAATATAGTTCAAAACCTCTTAAACATAGCATTGTTAAACGTATTTTAGTATTTAAACGGTAGCTATAGGCATATTTTAATCCCCCTAAAAATTTTTCATCTGCTCGGATTTCCTAGCTGAAAGCCTAGTGATCCGAAAATTAAAGGGATCATAACTTACCTTTTCGAAAATTTCAGCCAGAGAAAAGGCTCCTGAAAATTCTACGTGACCTTTTAGGGCTAAAAATCGGTTAAAAATGGGCAATTATACCATTTTTTAGATGTTCGAAAATCCTAGGAGAGGCAGGCAAGCAAGAAATTCTACAATAAATGTTCGGAAAATTCTAGATCTCTAATCGTCTTCCGAACAGATACTTTCCGTAAACTGACGTTGGGTGCCACTGATTCGGCCCTGAAATCTATTTAGTAAAATCCAGCTAGTGGTCTATTATCAATGCGGCGTTCTGATTGGTTGAGCTACTACTAGGCTATATGTTATAGTACACGTAGCGAAAAGCGCTGGCTTTTTGGCAGCAAAAAAGGATTAAAGTCTAGCTTTAAGTAGCTAAATTTTTTTATTCTCGATAGTTTTGACCAACTAGTTGGATTTTAGTAAAACAATTATTCCTCTCGCAATTGTGGTCGCTGAGTCAATAGCCCATTCGGCCGAATGACTCAGAGCCCATTCGGGCTCGAGGAATAATTGTTAAATATTATGAGGAACACACAGATACATGTACGACTTCTTACAGTTCAGGGCCCAGTTGTTCGAAAGGTGGATAATGCTATCCACTGGATAAATCTCTATCCAGTAGATAACACAATTGATTTCCCTAATACTTATCCACTGTATAGCGAATTATCTGGTGGATAGCGCCATCGGACGTTTGAACAACCGGAGCCGTGAGAAGGAGTAATGTCATGCATCCGTTTAATGTATTTAATACCATCAAACAGAGTTAAATTAAAGTCCAGTTTATTAAGAGTGAATATACTAGTTTCCTGCCAGTATTGAAAAGTTTCGTTGCTATACATGATTAGCGCAAAAAAAGCCTGTTTACAACTTACAGTAATAAAGCTCTTTCTCCCCTTTATCAGCGACAGGTTAATCCCGGGGGGGCTCTCATTTGAAAGGGGCGGGGATGTTCGTCGGAAATTTTGAATTAAACCCCGAAAGGAGACCAATCTGGGCGTGGCCCAACCTTTTTTGACCCCTGAAACAGACCATTTTAGACTTTGATTACATGAATCGAGCAAATTAAAATGATTTGAAAATATATAACTTTTTTTATATTTCTTCGCGTGTAACCCTAAAAGAGACACCCTAAGTGAGACCAAAATCCGAAATTTACACCCCTAAGCGAGGCGTCAAGTAACCCCGCCCCTTTCATATGGGAGTCTCCCCCGGGACAAAGTGGTTGTAGTGCGTTGTTTATCTGCAAATCACTCTCGTCAATGCCTCCAGAAGATGCCTCGCCCTACCCAAAGCAATGGGTCAAATAAATAAGTGGCTCTCTTGAAGACCAACGTGAAGCCCTTCACATCTACAGGATTCTGCCACAAGGGAAGAAAACAGATGCTTGTTGCAGTTACAAACAATCTAAGGTTACATGTGAATGACCCGTGAATGTCCTAACGTCCGTGATGAGACGGCGTCAGATCATCAGAGAGAAAACCGGTGAAAGAGGCTGAGTACTGAGTTTAATTAGTTTCAATTTGCTGTAACCGTGAACCGATCGATTTGCCCATGTAATTGGTTAACAACCTTTTGCACTTATAACACTTACACGAGTCTACCTCATAGCCAGGAGACTCGGGGAACATGGGAAGGTTTCACGCTAATGCGAAGGACCAAGGCAGGGTTTTCCCGAGCTGCCTTGCGCGCTCCGAATTTGACCTTGATCTACAAATGAGGCAATACCCGAGAATTGTACCCGAATACCTTCCCAGACTCTAATCATCTCGGATCATCTCAGGCATTCGGGGAACCTCCTGGGTATGACAGGTATCCTAAACTCAAAATATCCCAGAAAAAGAGACTCGAAAAATGGATGTTCAAATGCGAACGCGAACTTTTGAAATGACCGGCTAATATAACGCAGCAGTCTAAATATAAGGAACTGTGTGTGAAGAACAGATATGGTTAAAACCTGAAATAATGATATTACTAATAATGGTGTTAATAACCGTGCTTCCTGCGTGGTTAGTTCTTGGCGGAATTTTAAGTGGTTTTATGTTCCACTGATTAAACTGACCCACTGTATGTTACTGTTCAAGTCACCTATCACTTCACATGCACCATGATTACGAATGTTACTTAATTCATTGCATAACTCGCCTGTACTTACTTACGCAAGAAGGTGAAACGTCTGTTAATGCCATTTCCGCGAATGCCCTAATTATTGCATAACTCTTCAAGCCTCTAAAGTATTTTAAAAAAGGCGACTTCAAGTGATCAAACAACTTGAAACTGCAGTTATCATATGAAGACTGGCCCCCCGGGGGGGGGGGGGCACTTGGGTATTTTTTGGGTGGGTATGTGCCGCCCGGGACTCCAAATTGGCACCCCGTTCTAGGAAAAATTTCCCCCAAAACTGATACCCCGTTATAGAAATGGGCCAATTTTTTATACCCCGTTCTAGAATTCGCCCTAAAACTGATACCCCGTTCTAGAAATGGGCCAATTTTTTATACTCCGTTCAACGAGAGTACAACGGTTTGCTTGTTTTGCTTGTTAACGCATTGAACCGTATTTTTAAAAGCAATCTGTCCTTGAATACTTTCAAATGGCTGCTTACAAAAGTGGAGCTTTCGTGCGTTCGAAATATTATACCCCGTTCTAGAAAACGCCTCTGAAAGGGATACCCCGTTCTAAATCAGGAGCTTCAAAATCACGACCCCTTTGGGCGGCACAAACCCGTATAGGCAATGTATGGGAGTACCCCCCCCCCCCCGGGGACTGGCCATTAACAGTCTTCATAGGGCTTATCAGGAAATTATCAGGAAATTGCGGCATCCTTTTTTTAAACATGCGGAACGTTTGCATGATTTCACTAATCAACTTAGAGCAATTTTCGTTTGACCTTGAGATAATGACACACTAACAGAACTTAAACATGGACGAACAAGGATGTCAAGGATTTGATTAGTTACTTTTTGCAATCAGGCTCAAACGCGCGCGAACATGCAAAGAATTTCTGACTGAACAAACGATTTTCCTTAACCTGGCACAGCGAGCCCATGTTTTTAATCTTTTTAACTATTGGCTGGTTGAAAAATAAAAAAATTGGAAAGAAAGAGAGAAAAAAAGTTCGTGTCATACGAGTGAGCTGTTCACCAGCTCATAGCCTGCAAAACAGGCCTTACTTTTTCGCG